ATGAGGCCACGAGATAAATTTGTGCACAGATGGAAGGCTGACAGGCTGACAGGCAGGTAGGCCATCCAGTTATTTTAGCCGGGCCGGCTCAGATGATTGGTCGTGCTTTTTACAGTACCACGGCTTCCACAGATGAAATTTTTTTATGGATCTTTTGTCAAAGCACTTCAGATATTCATTGCTATCGGGATGTTAAGAGCATTCCATGGAATATAACAAAAAGTGTATCTCGAGCCGGTTTCTCAAATTTACCTACCCCACCTTTAAGTAGATGTAAAGTAAAAATGAATACAATGGAGCATAAATGAAATGCAGTTGAATAAATATAATGTAGCATACAGTAGAATGGAAAATGCTCAGGTATAGTTGAACAATATGAAAACTAAATAAGTAAATAAATACAAAAATTGACGTATTAAAGTATAGCACAATTAAAAAGCACACCAGTCAAAGCTTGTCACTGCTCATGTGTCACCAACAGATCCAACTTCCATGCTAATATGGTTAAGGTCACGAGTGCAGTATGTTCAGGACTATAATCTGTCTGCCATGGTGTTTAGAGCCCAAATGACACGATTGACAGGCATATAAGGTCATGGAGACATCGGGGGGCTTAGGAACGGCATTAAAGGCATCACTCTGGGTACAAAAGTAATGCATTTAAATCATTTGCAGTGGCAGACAGAGGGCCAGATTTGAACATCCACACTTGCAGACAGTTAATCAAGGTCAGAGCATCTTTGGGGCTCATCCCCCTGCAGGGGTGTGTAGACAGAAGCTGCTATGGAGTTTTAATCTGATGGTTTTGACTGGGATTATACCAGGTCAAGCCCTGGGTGCAGATTTAGCTGAGCTGTCCATCAACAAAGCATTACGTTTAACCTGGGACAGAGGAAATTAATAGGTTATTGCACAAAAGCACATCTAGTGTGTGTTGTGTGTTTCCTCCTTGAATTGGAAACAGAAGGTGCTGAGTTCAGGAACTTGGAGTTTGTGTTTACTGTTCAATTTAAAGTGTGGTTAGGGATTTGAAGTAGCCTGGATTATATTGATTTTTGAAGACTCCTTAGAGATTGCTAATAAGTGTTTGCAATTTGAATGCAGCTATACCAGTTGAGTCATAGTGCAGCACACCTCATAGTAAACTAATATTATTATCATGAATATTATTTTTACGTTGAAACTGTGGTATTGATTAATCAACATGTATAATGACAAACTCATTTTCTAAAAACTATCAAATAATTATTTTTGGGCCGCATAACTTATCCAATTCTTGTAAATAGATAAATAAATGAATTATGTTTTAGTATAATTAGGTTTAAAAGAATAACATTTGAAAATGATTAACAGAAATGGTCACAAGAAGTTTGGAGTACACTGTAAACCAACATTGAGAAAGTAATTTACCATCCAGAGCACGGTGTCACCTGTGACCTGAGCAGAGAGCAGAGGTCTGTCTGAGCTCAGTGGAGAGGTTACTTGCCTCTGGCGGTGGAAACCGGACACTTCCACTCAATTTCAGAGGAAAATAGAAAGTGTCACCTGTGTGATCGAAGAGAGGTCGGAAACGAAATGCACTTTTTGTTCTAGTGTCCTTTATATCACACTCTTAGATATAGGCGTTACATTGAAATGTCTGCCGAATGTCCTGATTTATTTGTTTTTCTATGACTGATCAATGTAGGTACCTGTTTACAGGCAAAGCGTAAAATGCCTGCTCAAATAGTGGGAGACACTTTATGTTTGATGTGTTAAAGGCACAGTCTGTGTCTCAGATGTGCGATTAATGGCTGTAATGTCTAAGGAGATGGATTGTGTTCATAAGTGCTTTGTTGTTGCATGCATAAAGGTGTATTTCATCTGTTCTATCAAACTATGTTATTGCTCGGTTTTTTATGTGTGTAGTCAGCCCAGGTGGGCTGGGTACTTAATGTGCATAATGCTTTGAAAAAACAAATAGCTTACTGACTATTAAAATATATCTGGGTTTAAAGGTGGGGTAGGTAAGTTTGAGAAACCGGCTCGAGATACACTTTTTGTTATATTCCATGGAATGCTCTTAACATCCCGATAGCAATGAATATCTGAAGTGCTTTGACAAAAAATCCATTAAAAAATGTCATCTGTGGAAGCCGTAGCGCTGTAAAAAGCTCGACCAATCATCTGAGCCGGTCCGGCTAAAATAACTGGATGGCCTACCTGCCTGTCAGCCTTCCATCTGTGCACAAACTTATCTCGTGCCCTCATTGGTCATGTGCGCGTTCGTGTGTGTTGGAGGAGGGGCTCTGTAAGGAAGTGGCAGATTTGTTCCGGCTGTGTATTTTCAAATTCTAGCGCACTCGAGCTGGTTTCTCCAAAATTACCTAACCCACCTTTAAGTTAAGTTATATGCCTGTCAATCGTGTCATTTAAGTAAAGGGATGAATCTCTTGTTTAAGAAAAAAGTTAAATCTGTTAAACTAATATGAAGAAGCCCATTCCCTATTGGCTAACACTAGCACCGGTAATAACTGGTAGATTTTCCAAAGCTACAAATTCAGTTTAAAATAGTTTGCAATGGCTGAATAGAGTCTAGGTTAGAACAAGGCAAACACAGAAAAACAAAGACATTTAGACGGCTCTCCATTAAAAACCCATTTTCACTCATTTATGAAACTGGATGTGGTAAATGACCAAAAAGGGCGAATAGATAAACACTCAAATCTTGATAATAGGAAACAGTCACATGGTCTCACGATGAGCTTTGATACCTATTGTTTTGCAGATTTGGATGTTTTTTGTGGGGGAGTCAATGATGAGGATTTATTATCAAACTGTTTTTTTTCCTGAATATGTTCCCCCATAAACTCCACAGTTCACTTGGAAGAGGACCAAGACTCAAATGTAAAGGTTGTTCCAGTGGGAATATTTGGTGTGCAGCCAACTCTGATTTCCTTCTCACCTGACCAAACCAAATAAATTGCTTCCACCATGCTGTGTGTGTAGTGTGTGTATGATGAAGGGCCATCTTACCTCGCCCGTTGAGAGTGAGCGCACACTCGCTGCGCCCGTTGAGCGTTAGCGCGCATTCACTTCGTCCATTCAGTGTGAGCGCACATTCACTTCGTCCATTCAGTGTGAGCGCACACTCGCTGCGGCCGTTGAGTGTGAGCGCACACTCGCTGCGTGTGTTCAGCGTGTGGTTGTGTGTGTCCATGAACGACAGGGCCTCGTCACAGTTGGTGCCCTGCTCCGTGTAGCTCTTGTCCATGGAGTTGACCATCACTGTCATCTCCTGGCGGGTGCTGTTCAAAGTCTCCTTACGCTTCTTGGCCAATTTCCTTTAGAAGAAATAAAAAAACATCAATCAGACCAAAGCAACAATGACTGCTCCTGAATTGATCTGATATGACGCAGGGGGGGGGGAAATGACTCAGATGTAATGAGATGGCTAATGTTTCCTGGGTTGCGGTCACATTAGGTTTTATTATTAGGCTTTTTCAAGCAGTGCCACATAAATCCTTGAAAGTATGGAAAGGTGTGACACCCTAACCCAAATACATCAGGGGCCCTGATGATTTAAAATTAGCTATAGGATTTTGGGGGCGGGAGAATACAGGCTGCTGAACGGTGAACTGAAACAGTCAACCTGCTTTTATTGACCTACTTTGAGCTGATGTGCTGGAGCCTACAAGCAATCTGCTCCAGATCAAACACCATTAGAGCATTGTGTAGGGAGTGAACGCACAGGGAAGCGCACACAAGCACAGATCAACGTGTACTGTAAGCATAAAAAGACTGCAGATGGATTCTAAGTTTGTAAAAGCAGATGCCGAGCTCACCTCACCTCATCTGTCCTGGCTTCACTTTACTGACTGTGAATAACGGGATCAGACAAGATTTTGAACTTTCCCCGATACAGCTGTCCACACTCAGCTCTTTAGTCATGAACTTTTCCCCCCTTTGTACACCAGCGAGACTTTAAGGTCTTGTGACCAGGGCTCGCTGTTTGTCCCTGGTCAAAACACACATGCAAGGGTCATGAGCAGTGGTGTAGTGGGGATTTTCTTACTGGGTGGACGGGACGGGACCGTGAGACACTATGGACGCGCTCGTGAACTGTCAACGGGGGTGGGTACACTGTGCGTGGACCTCTGTGACGCCTTTCAGCGAAACTTACACGATGCCGTTTAGACAATAAAACACACACACACACACACACAGTCACACACACACACACACACACACACACACACACACACACACACACACACACACACACACACACACACACACACACACACACACACACACACACACACACACTTTATTATTTATAACTTGTATGATTTCTCTCATACGTTTTCTATTATCTAATGTTACAGTATGACCATTCTTACTGTTATAAACAGAGTGGACTAAATGTATATCGCAATAGTGAAGATCACCACAAAGTGTTGCAAAAGCATATTAACTATTAAGTTGATTAAAAAACTATTACACTTGAATGAATAACTGTGCTAACTCAGTACGTTGTCCCTGAAACACTACATGGGATATATTAAATATTGACATACATTATTATGTGTAAGACTGTAATACATTTGATTAAAGTCTGCTCAACAGTCGATGCAACATTACCATGACAGTCTATACTTAGTTTATTACTGCTTGTATTATTTCATTTTAATGCAACTACACAGCAAGAGATATTACAAAAAAGATCATTCTGATTCTTGTTATGATAATGAACATCTATTTATATAAAATAATAAAGCAAGGCAAACTGAAAAATGACTGCATACATTGAATAATTATGCTGCAAAATGAGAAACTCAAATATTTTAAAAGTTGGACTTTTTGAGTCTAAACAAGTTTGCTGGGTTTCTCAACCTTTGACCCTGAACTGTACTAAGACTGAATGCCTGAAGGGGTGCTGTTCTGAAGCCGACCTTTAACCTTCCAGAAATCACCACTTGCATAATAAAATGTCCCCAGGTTGATAAATAATGCTTCTCATTAACACTCTGAGGAGTTAACCCGGTACAGTGTATTTCCAGAGACATCAGAAAAACGGCAAACAGCTTGAGCAGCAACACAGTAAGCTGTAGCGGTGTCTGATGTCTGCGGCTGCTCTGTAGCTGGAGGGGAGTGAGCGGAGTGAGAATTAACTATGGCAGCCCTCACACTGATCCCCGCACTTTGTTACTCTCTGTGTGACCCCTCTGCCTATTTGAATTGCAGTCTCTCTCACGGACAACTGCGATCTAATGATGCACTCCTGCTGCTTTGTTTTCGCAAATCTCCTCTGTTTATTCAATTTTGTCGCTGTCTGGTGCCATATGGCGACAGGCCCCCGCTGCCTTCAAACAGTCATTTGCTCTGAAGGCCGCGACGTGAGGCTAATAGTGGATCCGTTCTTCAGAACGCAAAGTGACAAAGTAGTGACATTTTCATCTGCCGGACTCACTTTTTGTCTTTAATCTGCAATTAGAGTCGGAAACAAAATGGCAATCTTGTCTCTTTTTTTACGATATAGCTTCATATTGTCAAAGGGAGGCGTGAGGTGGGGAGGGGGGGAGTGTATGTACCCGAGGCAATCTTAAAACTGATTCAGCACTGTGTGCACTCATGGAGAAGACTATTAGGAGCAACTATAATCCATGTTTTAAAACTGTATCACTGTTCCTGTTCCCGCGTCTGTTAGGATTCTCTTTCCTGGCCCGTGTAGCTGCTGAAGAATGAGCGTTGGAGATAATCGAGGCTGCACAGACACCAGTGCCAAAATGAGGAAAGCACCAGCAATAGTGGGATGTTTGCAAGGCACCGTGGGTGTTAGATGAAGATTAATTGGCATGCTATTCTCTCCTCATTTGTAAGAGGGGAACATGTAATGATAGATGACTATATTACTGGCTCTGATGTGCTGACAGAGATAGTACGAGGAAGTGTGGAGTTGAGTGTTTGTGCATCTTGATGAATGTGACCATTTATCATATCCCCGGATAGTTGGAGTAAAAGCTACACATTGAAAGATTCCAACAAGAAATGTACAGGACTGATTGCTTGCAGGCATGCCCAACAATAAAATCACAAATGTCTGTGAGCAGCAGTGAATGTGCATATGAAGGAAGAGGCAGACAGATGGCAGAGGTGTTTGTAGAAATAAAGACCGAGATAACACTGCAGGTAACTATATTAGGCAACTCTCATTAGAGGGATTGTCTGCAGGCCGTACATGACAGTCGTGGCAGATCTAGGATCTAAGTGAGCAGAGCTCCGAACTCTGTGAGTGCAGCTACAACACAAAGGAAGCCGCGTGAGTTGTGTGTCTGCGCCTGTTTGCCAGAATCTCAGTTCTGCGGGAGGTGATGCCGCTGCAACTTCTAAAAGCTTCAAAACCTTAGGCTCAGCATGGTGGGCCTCATTTCTGCACTGGCACAGCCTAAACCTCGTGACACCGGGACAAAGAAGGCTTCATTAGAGGATCCACACACACCCACAGCATTTGTGTGTGTGTGTGTGTGTTAGGTGAGTGACACGCAGCTGGGAGGGGCAACAGAAGCGTCTTTGATTCGCGCAGTGGGGGCACTTCAGTGGTTGTTTGCACTGTGTCTCAATTCAAACATGTCTCCATCTTTCACACGTTCTTTCCTGTCTATCTATCATATTTCTATCTCAGTCCTATTCATTTACTTTAGCAGGAGAAACCTCAGCAACAACGATAGAAACTATTTCTGAATGCAGACTATTCAGTGACAGGAAAATCGTTTATCTGCCAAATGATTGCTTTCATCGATTCTGTACAAATTTGTATTTTTTCACACAAAAACTGAAGTGAAGTTTGATCTTCATAACTCATGTTTGATTCACTTTTTAAAGATAGGAATTAGTTGTACTAAAAAATACCACTGAGAGAGATTAGAAATAACATTAACATTGTCAACTCAGGGAGTTTCATCCCACAGGCAATAAGACTGTAAACAGACCTGAACTGTCGAAACAACATCCCTAATATTCATCTGGCTGCTACTTAAACATTATTTTAAAATGATTTACCGATATATCCTATTTCAATAACTTGCATATAGACTCTTATTTCACTATTTCAAAAACTATTTTGCTCTATTTTTTCTGTTTATCTGTGTTTTGTGTTGCTCTGTTGCAGAAGCCTTTGACACAAGATTTTCATTGGCATACCTACACTGTAGCTAAGTTCGTTTGACTAAATAAAGAACCTTGAAAAATTATGTTTTTGGTTCAAGCAAAAGCTTATATTCAGATATTGTAAATAACATTTTAGAGTAACCTTTAGAAAGACATTGATTTTTTACATTGTGTATCTGTTAAAGTACTTTTCTTTTAAATGTATTTTCCTATTTCGGCAGTTGAAGACAAACTTACAAGAAAACGTTTTAGTCTCAGGTTTCCTTGTTCCTATATTTAATTATATTCATATTATTTAATGATCATTAAATATACTTTATTTTGATTTAAATCAAGAAATAAAATGAACTGTATTTAATATAATGTTTTCTTTTAATAAGAAAAAAAATATTATACATATTTTACAAAATATATATTATATATATTGTATTGTGCTAATAATGTACACTTTTTTATACTATTACCTTGCCTGTCTCTGAATCCCATTACATGTATATATATAAAGAGTTAAGTAAGTAGCAAGAGAGCCAAAGTGTAACAGACACTTTGTAAATGACAATTCATTTTAAAAACGTATGCACTGAAACTATCACTCCAAGCATGAGATCCCTTCGCCCTGCTCGAGCTGCTCTTCCTCTCTCCCCCTCCTCATCAACATTCAGAGCTCGTCGGTGCAAAAATCTGCAAAGCTTGTACCAATTAATGTGATTCTTGCTGCATGTTCGGCTGGTAGGTATAATGAAGGTGTTTGCCCTGAGCACATTGTGTTATACATGGTGCGTTTAGTAGGCCTCCCATGAATGATGATTTATACGTCTGTGTGTTTCCGGTAAAAAGGAAGCAATTCAAGCCATTTTTTCTATTCTCGATATATCACTGCATGAGTTCAGTGAATATCAGCAGCTAGTGGCATACAGGTTTGTTTACCATCAGACCCACTCAATGAATTGTATGCACACATCAAACCATCAGGGATTTAGGATATGAATGACCACCTGCCAGATGGATATGGACTGGTCTCTCCTGAACAAAATCACTTCCTCTGAGCTGATTCAATAAAACAGCAGGCAGAAACCCCAAAACATAACACCAATATTTAGACTAAATTCAAGAGTAGATATGTTGTGGAAACATGGCTTCAAATTTGTATAATATATCTATGAATATAATCATACTTTCTTTGCTGTCAGGCATGGTACATTAAAAACAAGACCCTTTAACTGGTGTGTACCATAGACTGTATATATAAAAAGGTGTACCTAAGCGCCTTTCACGTAATCATTTGAAAATCAACGGAGTAAATAATGTATCAATTAGACACAGAGCAACAACATTCTGAAGTAAATGCAACTCAATAAATCAGCCACAGGATGTTTCTCAATGTCGATTACGCTTGCTTGGTAGCACATGTCTTCCGAGTCACTTGCTTCAGAAGCGAGGCAAGAATACTTCCTGGCATTCGGAAAACAAAGAGTGGAACAGGCGAGCAGGTGTGCGTCATATGAGAGGCCCCGCCTTACATTTTCCGCCACAGATTTGGGGAAATTGGTCCGTGCGCAAAGCATTGTGGGGATTTTAAGACAGCGGAGTCTACACATGTGCAGCCTCGAAATGTCTCGCTACGAAGTACGCCGGCCTCGGTAGAATTCCAAGTATGCTGGACATTGGAACAGTCCTTCGGCGGCACTCGATGACGTAGTATGCTTGAAATAGTGGCTCTGGAGCAGCTTTACTCGAGATTGAGAAACACCCTAAGTCTAACATAGGTCTTCCCATTTTTAAAGAGCTTTAAATAGAGTTTTTTCATTGTTTAGCTATCCAGCCCGCAACTTCATGGTTTCTGGTTCCCTGCTTTCAGCCTCAACAGGCAGCTGTTAAAGGTGTAAAAGCTATATAAATCCACAGTACACCTTCTCTGCAACAAACAGCAGATAAACAAAATTAGCAACTACCTGCTTGCCAAGTAAAGCATTTAGCAACTATACAGTAGATCCAGTCTTTTCACTCAGAAAGTGGCAGGGACCAACAACAGAACAAAAAGAGATGTGTTATTGGACTTACATTTGCCAGGTCGCCAACAAGACAACAACAAATGAATAATAATGTTGCTCCATAACTGCCAGATCTGTGAGTAAGCCACATTATTCAATCAACATGGAGATGACATGTCAATCCTCAAACTTCTATTTTGGCCACCACTGCCCAAATGTGACTTTTAAGAGAGGGTTAACTTTAAATCCTATTTTAAAAGATTAATAAAATCTTGGTTAATAGAAGACATCTACTCAGTCAGATCACATACCTGAGGTTTAAGGAGCACATGACAAGCCTGACCAATCAGTCACAGAGTGATACAGTAAGTGTGCTCGTACTTAACAAGCCTGCTTGATGGATGAATCGAACTCTCTCAGGAATAAAAACCCAATCGCAACCTTGCCCCGTGCTATTGATCCCCCTCCTGTCCCCAGCAGCGACGGGCGTCCGGTATACAGACACCTGATTAAAGAATGATCATATATTTGATCACACATGTAACTGCATCTCTAATGAGCGCTCTGACTGATGTTGTGTTGCGAGCTAACCCCCGCAGCCACCTCTGGCAATGTACCCAAAGTGCATATTTTGGCGACTGCAGGACGTTCTCATGCCTTTAAAAGACTTTGATGAATGCGTAAGAGCATTAATGGGGTTCATCAATCATAGAGGTGTGTTGAAATCTCACAAAGGCTGTCAGCAGAACTGCAGATAAGCAATCTTAAGAAAACCTTAATTTGGTAATATAAACTTTGGGTTTAGGAAGTTATATGTGTTAATAATAAGTATTCTAGTTCCCCGAAAGAAGTAACAATATGATTATAATGACTTAACTTTAAGCAACACTTTGGTGGGAACCTTTCTAACTCGGCCTCAAGGGGCAAATCTTCCTTCCAATTAGCTAACATGCTCTTGTGCCTTCAAATGAATGCTACTGTACATAGACAGATAAAGAAAACATGTGAGGATGGGGGGTTGTTGTATTGAAATGGACATCCTTGCTCACTCCAGCATAATTTTCAATGTCAATTTCTCACGATGTACATCAATATCTACTGTTAATTACCTCGTAGAGAAATAATTGGTGATGCAGGCCTAGCGGTGAACATCCAGATGTATTTAGCTGAAAAGTGTTGTATTACACTCTTAATTTACAGCGGTGAAAATAACACATGACATATAATTTCTCCTGAAACCATTTGCTTGCAGTGCGCAAAATATCCATACATCTACCATTAACAGCCCCATTAGAGGACTAGGGGAATAACAGTTGATCAAGACGTCATTGAATTTGTTATCAACTGATATACAACACCTTCGAGCCACTCATAAATTAATTGTTCAAATAGGCATCTTGCATGTAAATATGTTTTGATTTTACATCATAGGAGTTGTGCCGAAGGAAACATTGCTGGTTACAGAGATCCAGAAGTCTTAGGTAATTTATTTATTTGCAATTTCTCAAAGCCGTGTTTTTAATTATCCATTATTATTTGCTGCAGTCATGGCACATTTTCAAAAGGAAATCATTACTCCTTCAGCTTTTATTACTGTATATTATGTTGATATCCTGTCAGCTTTTGGAGCGGAGTCACAACATTCGCAACCCCTCGAATTCATTTTGACGGGAGAATGCAGGGAAACGTCGACGTTGTGCTGTTCATGTCACATACATTCATTTTTGAAGGGGCCCATTTTGGCTTAAGCGTTCAAATGCATCCTGTAACGTGTTAGCAGCCAAATATCCAATTTGGCTAACCTAAGACCTGTCAATCAAAGCAAACGCGCCTCCAGACAAATCCGTCTAAGGCATTACAGTATGTCCTTCAAATGGAGGAATAATTTTCCAAATAATTACTAAAACACATGTTTGAAAACAAGCTTTATCTCTTATCTTCTCGTGAAAAATAATGCATTTTCTTGTTATTGTAGAAACCATCATCTCCTCTTTATGCAAATATGTGTACCCATTTGCTGTTAAAAAAATAAATCCCCAAAAACTGATTTTGATTGTTTCACTGACAACCTCATCTCTTCCTGCTTAACTCGGCCAATGTGCGCGCTTAGCTTTGATGACACCACTTCTCCAAAGTCACCGGGGCTTTCCATCCAATGCAGCTGTGATCTAAGATGAGTGACACGCGGAGTATTCAGAGTAGTATTATCTCCAGGTGTATTCTGAGATGTTCTTTGATGTGAGGCAGCCTCCATTCACTCCTCTGATCACAGCCATCTCAAGACAGATTAGTCGGCATCCATCACAAAGAGCGTACGAGGGGAGCCTGTGAGCTAAAGCAATGAAGCCAGAGCCGCAGAATAAGCTTCTTTTACCATTCAGAGGTGTGATTTGGAACCACGTGTCCTATTAAGAGCGAGTATAGGAGCGCTACGGCTATTGTTTTATGATGTTGGAGACGTCTATATAGAAAGGAGGTTATCCTGTAATAATGTATTTTCAGCTAAAGACACAACTCCACCATCACCATAGAATTGATGGGATGGACGTGCAATAACCCAAAAACATGCTCAAGAAAATAAAACTAAAAAGCATGAGATGTTTTCATGATGAAAGATGGAGTCGGGGTAGGGAACGACTTCACATTATCACATGCATATGGAGCCACATTGGTAGGTTCAACACGTTAGCCCATGCTTCCATTTTCGCTGTATAAAAAACAAACTATAAACATGGCTAATCCTAGAATTATTTACTGCATTTCTGAGTGTATACACAAGTGTGCAAAGAGTGAGAATTTGGACAAGCTTATTGAGGCACTAAACCGTAGATTCACTGTGATAAGCACTTCAAAAACTCTTACTTTGACAAGTCAACAGAGATGAAATCATCGGAGGCCAATGAAAAATTCACACTCAGTAAAAATGCAGAAGCTCCTGCATTGATTTTTCCCCCCTTTGAAGACATGAGTTGGGCAGCCGTACAATCATTAAGGCAGTTCATAGTTTGTGATGAACAAACTCCTTAAAGTCGAACAGACATTATGTTTGCAGTATTTTCAGTGGCAGGTTAACGCTGTGGGGGTGTAGCTGCGTCTGCGTGCTTTCGTCAGAAGTCGTGCCAATGTGACATACAGTATGATGTGATACGCTCATCATGGAGGTGGCGTCCTCCGTTCCTCCAGCAGAGATTACAGTGAGGTCTCTGTAATGGCTCTGAGCAGGAGGAGGATGACATGGCCCTTTGCATGCATGCATGGGAAACAGCGTGAGGGTGAGAAGCATGGCACTAACATTACACAAAGTGGTTACTTACAGGTAGTAAGTGTAGGAGTGATAGGTTCTTCTGCCGAGTGGGGTGGTGGTAGGATTTAAGCAGTGGAGGAGGGGAGGGGATGGAATGAAAAGGAAAGAAAAAGTAAAAATATATTAATGTTTGAAAAAAGAGTAGAAATGAACAAAATCAGATATGGTGGCATACGTGGAGGTAAACTAGTGAACATGAGGGCAAAGGTGATCGCTTGGAGTCATGTCATGCTTTGTTGGGTGGGGGGGNGGGCTCATTACAATACGGTCAGAACTCTCTAATTATATTGATATTGAGATTATTGATATGTGATGGGAAATCAAGAGCAGCCACGCTGTCAGTAAAACTCCTCTTTTGTGAACACATCATTTTATACATCTATAAAGAATTACCATATCTGACCTCCCAGGTTGAAACTTAATGAGTGCTTTGAATGTCTAAACACAACTCCGATTCCCTGTTGGCAACAGTAAGTTACACGAAATTCAACCAATGAAGTCATCTCCATCTCTGGTTTGATTAAGGCTAATTGAAAACAATTCCATTACTGAGTGCTGCTTTTCACACCCACCCACTGATCGCTGTGCTATACACAGAAGATGAAGAATATTATATTACTGTCAAAAATAAACACGATACATGGTGATTGTATTAGTACACATCTATGCCTCCCCACTCTACTTCACTGCTGGTTACTATGTAATTCAACACACGCTATCCAACTCAATGAAAAGTACAGTAAATTAAAGTTAATGCAAACTAAGTTTTACTGGAATCTTTTTCTTTTTTCCTCGCCTAACTAGAGAAATCTATGCAGAACCTGACAGTGTTATTTCAAGCTTTGCTGTGGACAAAGGGGGTTGATATTTGCTGAGCTTGAGCTCCCCTGATAGCTGGGATATGTACTGAGGACCTCTCTCCAGTATGGGGTCCAGGCTAATGTAAACTTAGCCTTCAGCTATGTGGCCATCCTCTTTCTTTTGAGCCTTTTCATCATATTTTCTTTCTTATCTCTTCCCCGCCTCCCTCCAAACCACAGGCCTCAAAACATTATTTCCTATTCCCATCCCAATGTCATTGAAGCGCTGCACATTTGTTTGAGGGTGCCGTGGAAACGGATTAATTTTTCATGGCACACTGTATCTCATGGCTGTAAACAGCCTTAATGGGGCGTATCAACATAATCAAATTAATTATTTACCACGACACTGACAATACTACCATTTGAGGGAGAAATATACAAAATGATGAAACTACTTATTTTTCTGCAAGTTAGTCCAAGCTCTTCCAGAAATGTGAAATAGTATTTCAACAAGTAAAAAGGAAAGGCTTACCTTTTCTTCATGAGTAGTACCACTCCTAAGAAGATGATGACGAAGAGGAGGATGCCGGCGATGACTCCGGCGATCTTCACCGTGTGGTCCGTTTGTTTCTCCGGCTCCACAGCGTCAGGTTTGTGCGTGGCTGCTCCTGAAAAACATCACAATGCATAAAGATCAAACAGAGAAAGTGCAATTAATCGGGCAGACTATGAAACAGATCCAATGATTATTTGCTTTTGTTCTACACTAACCAAACGGGAGAGTGCATATCCATACTTTTAGCATTTCAAATCAAATCAAGTTTTATTTATATAGCACATTTTTAAAACGATTCTTGGTGGAGCCAAAGTGCAGTACATATAATAATTACCTTACAGTAAGGACTCTTTACAGCAAAATATCAGTATGAGAAAACGACACCCTCATTTCCTCATTGATTCGACTGTGCGCAGGAGTGAGGTGGATTCATCAATACTCTGATATTCCGTGGCATTCTGTGGACCATAAATATCAATACACATGTATTGTCTGAGAGTAATGTTTGTTTCTAAAAGTAAGTGACTCCCTATTGTCCTGAGGACTCCACCTTCTGCTCCGTCCTCAGTGGACGTCTGCGCTCTGAGGATCAAGCTGCACTGCGAGAGATAAGTGTGCATCATCTTTACCCTTGGTTAATCATGTTTGGGGCAAACGGTTGCTGGGCTATACAAAATGTAGGATGCAGGGCGCAAGAGATAATACCCAAGAAGATAAAAAAGCCTGAAATAACCAACGCATTAAATATCAGCTTGGGAGGAGATAGCCAACAACGGGAGACACAAAGAGAGCGAGGGGAGCGTCTTGTTTTAACACCGTATGCTCCCTGCGAAGTGATAAGAAGCACTTGGATGAAAACAGCGTCCCTGGAATGACAACTGTCCACCTGAACAACACCATTATTCCCTGTCACTGGGGGTAAATTTAGAATGATGAATTGTTATGTCAGACCAATCTGTTAGAGCGGGTTTACTCTCAGCGTCGCCATTTTCTCTCGCTATCAAAAAGGTAAATATCTATCCCGGGCTGGCTGTGACATATTGTTCTCGCACTGGTGTGCTCTTATCAACAGCCAGGCCTTTTATTTAGATACAACTTTTTAAAGCAGAGAGGTGGAGGATTTTCAAGACAGGTGACATATTAACAATTATGTCTGGACAGATGGAGAAGATGTTATCTAAATATACTGTTACAGGCTAATCTTACAGAAATGCTGTCAGTGACAAATCCCCATTTGAGACGTGAGGGCTGTATGTTCGCTGCCACACGTCAATACTCTTCCATTCTAGCCTGGCAAATTACTTTCTTTCTTTTGTACACACAACAAGTAGAAACTGAGCAGAATTGTAATAGGCCGCGAAACTCTTGAAAACTCTCTGGATCTTGATGACGTGCACTTCAGCGTCCTTTTGTGTGTTTACAGTTTTCGCGACTGCAGCAAACAACACCTACCAGCACTTAATTTCCCAAAAATAATGAGAAATATTCATGAAAGGGGATTAACTCCTGTCAAAAAGCTCCAACACCGACACATCAAATACAAAAATCACACCTCAAACAGGTCTTTCATGTCCAGTAATGCTGAGGAGATGAAGGTAGAAGACAATGTCTTTGATTTAATCACTCTGTGTTTATTGTCCTGCTATTTGCATAGAATCAATCACACACGTGCAATATGCCACTTGTTTGTTTTCCTGTTGAAGGAATCATCAGGATTGCTGCCTCATTAAACACGTAGTGGGTCAAACCAAGCTGTGGACAGAATAATTGAGATGCTCAGAGAATGTTTTTGGAAAGCAGCGGGTCTGACCTGTTAGTTGGCTGTCCCCGGCTGCTGGGGCGATGCGGATGTACGGCGTTGTGAGCTGAGTCACAAGTATGGCGGCTGAGTAGAGTCAGTGGATCCAGGATAGCATGCAGTAGAGAGAGACAGAGAAAAAGAGACAGGCCACACTGAAGCTGAAAAACAGCCACACCAACATTTCCCTTCATCATGCAACATTACAATATTAGAAGGCATTTCACAATTTACTTTGGCATGTTAGCAAAAGCAATTTCACACATATCTCCCCGGGCCATACGTAGTGCATTAACATGTGTCCCTTCAGGTGAGAAATTACCTATATATGATTCTGCTACCTCTGTTACCTCTGTGTCATTTAATTTAAACTATTGAGCCATGTAGAGATATCTGGAGCTCCGCATGAAATCCATAGTGGAGGTGCAAAATATACAAGATTGTCAGAGCATGTGACAGGATCTCTCACTGCCCAGAATGTGGCGTGACTGGGGCTCCCTCCGGCCTTATCAATTCTGCTCCTGGATCAATGGTGCTTAGACTTCATTGGCTGTAATGTGTGGAGCAGGACGTACAAGCAGCATAGCTAAGTACCTACAGACCTCAATGGGCACATAGGCTGTCTCCGACTCATGGAAAAAAACATCTACTTGGTCAATATATTGATGTGAAGACTCACATTTTTAGTCTTTTTAAGACATTTGTAAATGGTAACACATTAAACATCATCAATAAACCTAATGAGGTGTGCGAGATGTGACTGTTGGTTCATATAAAGTTCATGTTAATTTTGTTAGTTCTCAGAAATCATGCGCAAAGGATGTTAAGATCTATCCCTACCTTTGGTGGCTACTCGAACGCAGTCGATTTTAGTCTCCTGTGCAAATAAGACAAATGAAAGAGGGGGGAAAGAGAAGCAGAGTTTAATATGACACACAAAAGACACACACTTGCAACAACAGCTTTCTAAGAAGACACGGGTTACAACAAAACAGCTCGGTCAGTTCCACGCTGTCCCCTATCATCTGTTGAGCTCAATGACTGTGACACAAAACGCAGTTAGGCGAGAGGGCCTACAGCACAGATTAGTGGTGCTGAGCTGCTGATTTGTCAGCCAACAGCGATCTGTCGGCAGCCCGCGGCTCAAGGTGGTCAGCCACTGTGGAGAAACCAGAGCCCTGTGACAAGATACACCAACCCAGCATGCGGCGCTCCAAAATGACACGTCAGGGAGCCTTTCTGAATATGTAATGGAGTTTGAGCTCTCACAACAGCCTTCAACAACATACAAAAAAAAAAGAAACGCGGCTCTCGCTGCTGGCAGAGAAGTTTGTTGTCAACAATGGTCTGTTGAACAGGAAAAAGGACACAGACAGGAACGGAAAGGGAATGAATACAACACAAAAGACACGAGAGATGTGTCCCTGGATTTGACCCAGCCAAGCTGTCCAATGAGCAGTGAGCACACATGGGAGGGACAGCATTTAGAGGCCATGAGAGGTTCAATGAAGAGAAAAAACATCAATGTTCATGTGATTCTCGGTGCGTGTGTATTCACATTACTGCCGCTTTTAAGCTGTCAGATGGTGCTTTTGTTTAAAGCAACATTAGAAGATATATTAGATTTTTATTTGAATAGAACGCAAAAACTATACATGGATGGCACTCACCTTCTCTAAGTGCTAATTTAGTCTAAGAGGACCACACAAATCACTCTAACATGGTTAGACATTAATTAAAGCTTGCAGTATATGACAGTAATGGCTTCATGAAAGAGAGTGCATTTGGCCAGTGTAAAACAAAGCATTGAATGTGGAAATTTCATCAGAAATGTCCATTACAGAAACAGAGCTTTCTGCTGTGTCAACGAGGGGCTCTTCCATTCCGTGTGTGCGAGGACGAGCACTATCAGCCTCTTCACATCGCTCACCAGTTCAACCTGGAAAGTTTCAGTCCGCCAGTGCTTCTCTCTCAAGAGCAAACTCGCTAATTGGATTCAGCCCGGCCTCACGTTACTTCTATTGCCTTCTTAAAAGACGTGACGGTGTTTCTCAAGGAGGCTGTTTATGGTGATTCTAATTCAGGACCATAATCGGTTGGGCTCTTGAAGTCGCCATTGAGCTGTCGGCTGTGTCTCCGCGGAGGGAGGGCTCCTCCAAGTGCCACTCGAAGACAGAGGCTGCGACCTGTGAGATCGGTAACCCCGTTGTCGTTTCCTGCCTTCCACACTTAACTGCCGCTGGGACAACTGCCTCTCTTAAATGCCATTGATCAAAGGCTCGTCTGGTATTCGGCATACAGCTCCATAGGAAGAGGCAGGAGAACGGGGCCACGGTAATGGAGGCAGAGCGCATGTCAACGCACACAGCTCTGTATTCAATGCTTGACCCTGCTGCAGCTTATTAAGAGTGGAGACAGTGCTGTTGGTACAGCCCACCAGAGGACTGACACATCTATCAGAGGCCAAATGCAATTGTGCTGCTGTGTGCATGTGTCTGCCTCTTTGTAGAGTCAGGGACTTCTCTACTCAGCCACTTTCAATCTGACAGCCGTTCAGTCTCCTTAACCCACCATAATATTTAGCATTGTTTTGTGTATACTTTAAAGTGGATATGCAAAGGGTTTAAAAAGAAAAGGCGATGTTTGACTAGGCAGAAGGTTAGAGTCAGTCTTCTATAAGACACTAGAAAACAATACTACTTTCAATTCTGTGGCATTTGTTTATTCTGATGTTAGTGCTTGAGGTTTATTAAATTAAGTAAACAAATTAGACGTTTCTCGACTATGCTAATCCAATCGTCAAGTTGCAGAGGTAGATTATATGCCTATTAGCACGGTACCGTAAGAGACGCTGCCAACAATAAACTGTCAACCCGGGAATTCAACACTCAGCATGTAAAGTGTTATTTTTTGCCTCCGTTTGTTCTCTTTGCAATAATATTTTCTTTTATAACCAGCAGTGGAAGAATTATTTGTATACCTGTACATGTATAAAAGTACTAATTCCACAATGTAACTTACTTAAGTCCTAAAGTATTAAACATAATGCGTTTACAGTCTCAAAATGTGTTCCTTATAGAGAGTAGAATAATATTTACGTGTCATATACCTGGATAATTGATAAATAACACAAATGCAGATTTTTTTATGGTCCAAAGGGATTCTGCTTGTTTACATTACTCAATCATTGAAACTGATCATGTCTTGCTTTTTTAAAATCTTTAAATGAAAAATAAATGTAGTAAAGTAACATTTACAGTATTCCACTTTAAAATGTAGTCGAGTAGAAGTACAATGCATCAGAAAATGGAAATAATAGTCAAGTCAAGTATTGCAGTTAGATTCTTGGTTAGCCTCCTTTCTACCACTAGTTGTAAAGAAAACACAGAATGGTCATACTGTATTTTTGAATAAAGTCCTATTTAGAAACACCATGCTCGTGTTAAGTGCCTCTTCAACTGAACTGCATGAATAAAAGACATGTTTTTAGAAGCACCCACCCCGTTGGCAGTGCTGACAGCCTGGTAGTAGATGCTGTAGCTCTTCTGAGGCAGCAGAGCGGCGTTCCAGTAGCCGTTGTAGGTCTTGTTGTCCCCCACAGTGAAGGGCTGGGGCGAGTGGATGCCGCCGGCGGGGAACTGAGCGGTGAAGTAGTACTGGGAGTTTAGGAGCGTGGCGTTCTGGAAGTGAATGGGAACTGGGTAGCAGCGCAGGATTTCTGCTGTGCCTCGTGCTCTGCGTGGACGTTCCTCCTCCACCACCACCTGGTACGCACTGCAAACACAGGAGAAACTGAATGAAAAGACGCCAATGGGCCAGACAAGGGTTTCAAGAACGCTGTTGGCAATGCGGGCATATTTTTTTGGTTTGTAAGGAAGGATTACAAAGTGTTATATGGTTTCTTTATGACTGGCACATTAACGCATGTTGCTGAGCTCCAAATCTCTAGAAATATATTTATTTAGACGTGAGATATTTGACAGATAATGACTTTCTCATCTAGTAATTTCAGATTTGCATTTCAAATTTGACATTTTGAGACCTTTATGTGATTTTGTTTGTTGTATGCCAGTTAAAAAGACCAGCTGCTAGCTTTTTGATTAGCTCAAGCATTGCTATACACAAGTAGTTATAGATAGAGTAAGTGCATGAAAACCAATAGAATCCCAAGGATATACCCTTAAAAATACAGTGCAGGATAAATGAGCAGTGACACCGGACCGGGCCTGACATTATTTGCATTTCCATTATTCAACAACTGAAAAGGTTAACGGCTCCTTCCATTTCCTCTCCCTCCGTGCCTTGTGTTCAACTCGATCAAAACTGCAGCCCTCTGTGCCTCTGACAGAGATGACATTGTCTCTGAACCGGCCACTTAGCTGGAGGGGAGACTGACTGTCTTATACACTTTCATGTTAGTATGCATCTCGCATCCACCTGTTAAATCTATTGAGTCACTGAGTGACAAAGAGTCTGTTTACAGCTGCCACGCAGGATAACCAGCCATGATTGGGAACTAGTGTTCCATTTCAAAAGGGAGTCATGCAAACAACAAGTTATTATTACAGAAGACGGAGCAAAGTTAAACGGCTCACTGAATTATTCCATAAACAATGTGTGAATGAATAAAAATGAATACCATGATGTCGCATGCTCTCGTTCTCTGGTTTTGGAAAGCTGAATCCTGATTTTTTGTATATTTAATTGTCATGATTGGATGATATATTTACAAATAAAAAGATAATGAATAAGTAATTAGCATATTGTTGAATTGAATTTCTTTATTTAAAGTTACCATGTGGATTTTTCGACGATTAGCCATTTTTGGAGATTGGGTGGGTGGGTTTTTGTTTGTATGAAGTACATAGGACACACATGAAAGCGCAAAGACGCGGGTTTTCAAAGTCTGGCGTAGAGCTGCACGATATTGAAAAAAACTGACATTGCGATATTTATTTCCCCTGCGATATATATTGCGGTTTTTTAAACTATATTTAACCGGATGAAGGATTTTAGTCACGGGCGTCTGGATCTTAACTGGTTGACTCATCATACCTTAAGTCATGATCTAACAT